TGTCACCTCCTCCAGCCCCCTACACCCCCTCCCTATCTCCGTCACCTCCCCCCAGCCCCTACCCCCCCTCCCTATCTGTCACCTCCTCCAGCCCCCTACACCTCCTCCCTATCACTGTCACCTCCTCCAGCCCCCTACACCCCCTCCCTATCTCTGTCACCTCCTCCAGCCCTTACATACCCTCCCTGTCTCTGTCATCTCCTCCAGCCCCCTCCCTATCTCTGTCACCTCATCCGGCCCCTACACCCCCTCCCTATCTATGTCACTAGGGACCCGGGTTCGATTCCACCCTTGGGCGGCTGTCTGTGTAGAGTTTGCATGTTCTCCCCGTGACTGCGCGTGTTTCCTCTGGGTGCTCCGGTTTCCTCCCACAGTCCAAAGACTTGCAGGTTAGGGTGGATTGGCCGTGCTAAATTGTCCTGTAGTGCCCAGGGATGTGCAGGTTAGGGTGGACTGGCCGTGCTAAATTGTCCCTTAGTGCCCATGGACGTGCAGGTTAGGGTGGATTGGCCGTGCTAAATTGCCCATCGTGTCTGGGGTGGGAAGTGCAGAGATAGGGTAGGGGCTGGGTGTGGTGGGATGCTCTTCAGAGGGTCAGTGTGGACCAAGTGGCCTGCTCCCACACTGTAGGGATTCTATGAGAGGAACGGTTGCCATTTCAAGCTCCAACATGAGGATGTAGGAGGAGCATTTCGGACTCAAAAGTTCATTCTTTCTTTCTTTCACTTTTTCTTGTTCCACGGATGCTGTCAGAGTTTCTGTTGCACTTTCTAGTTTTTTTGTTTCAGATCTCCAGCATCTGCAGTACACTGATTTTATAACTCTGGTGCGGCTGGGTTGGTCTGACAGAAAACCCTTGCCTCATTTAAATGCTTGATGCAGCAAAGAAAGTTGAGACTTTTAAAGGATGTGGCGAAGATGATTGTTTTAATGTAGGGCAGTGGATATCGTCTACACAGACTTTACTAAAGCATTTGACAAGGTCCCGCATGGTAGGCCAGTCCAGACGATGAATTTACATCGAAATCCATAGTGAGTCAGTAAGTTGGACAGAAAACTGGCTTGGTCATAGAAGACAGAGGTTAGTTGCGGAGGGTGTGTTTTTTTTTCTGACTGGAGGTCTGTGACCTGTGGTGTTAGGTAAGGATCAGTGCTGGGACCTCTGTTGTTTGTACTATGTGTAAATGATTTGGATGAAAATGTCAGTGGTCTGATTAGTAAGTCTGCAGATGACGTGAAAAGTTGTGGATAGTCAGGAAGTTTGTCAGAGGGTACAGCAGGATATAGATCAGCTGGAAGGTTGGGCAGAGAAATGACAGATGGAGTTTAATCCGGACAAGTGTGAGGTGATGCATTTTGGGAGATTGAACGCAAGAGGAAAGTGCACAGTAAATGGCAGCACCCTTAGGAGCATTGATATACAGAGGTATCTTGGGATGCAGGACCATAACTCCCTGACAGTGGTAGCACAAGTGGATATGATGGTAAAGGAGGTATACTGCATGCTTGCCTTCATCAGTCAGGGCATTGAGTCTAAATGTTGGCAAGTTATATTGTAGCTCTACAAACTTTAGTTGGGCCACATTTGGAGTATTGTGCGCATTTCTGGTTGCCACACAATATAGGAAGGATGTACAGGCTTTGGAGAGGGTGCAAAAGAATTTACCAGGATGTTGCCTGGATTGGAATGTATTAGCTATAAGGAGAAGCTTGACAAACTTGGATTGTTTGCGCCGGAGCATCAGAGGCTGAGGGGTGACTTGATAGAAGTGGTGTGGATAGGGTGGATAGTCAGGGACCTCTTCCCAGAGGGGAAATGTCGAATATTAGGCGGCATAGGTTTAAGGTGAGAGGGGGAAAAGTTTAAAGGAGATATGCGAAGCACGTTTGTACACACAGAGTATGTAGATGCCTGGAACACCAGGCAGGTGGTAGAAGCAGATATGCTAGCCACGTTTAGGAGGCATTTAAACAGAAACATCAATGGACAGGGAATAGAGGGCTTTTTCTGATGAAGGGTCTAGGCCCGAAACGTCAGCCTCTCTGCTCCTATGATGCTGCTTGGCCTGCTGTGTTCATCCAGCCCTGCACCTTGTTGTCAGGGAATAGAGGGCTGTTGGGATTAGTTTAGAATGGCATCATAGGCGGCACAGACATGGTGGGCCATAGGGCCTGTTCCAGTACTGTATTATGTAAGGGCTAGCACATTGATTCGATGAGTCTGCTCAGGTTTTATAGGTATGGGCTGTAGAAGCAGGAAGTGCCAGGTTAAATCAACTTAAGCAGCAAAAAAAAATGGTTGGAGTCAACATGTCAAGGTTCCGCCTGTTCAGCTGAAATGTTTATAAATGTGCAAAACTGTCTTGGCATCAAGCCTACATTCCAGCACGAAACTGCAGGGTCGTAGGAGGGGTGGTTGGTGGAAGTGTGCACATAAAAGAGGTAAGACATTGCCATCTGGTGGCTTGGCAATGCGTGACAGATGGAGATCAAGCTATGAGAATCTCGGAACTGTCGGCTTGCTAGGGCAGAACTTGACTCTTGCCCGAAAGGGCAACACACATGTTGGAAATCGACACACGATTCACGAAAATGTCAAATCTCAGGCGAAAGGGTTAGCTCCGATCAGCTGACGCGTCACATCGGAAAAAGCTACAGGGAACTACAGGCTCCCAACGCTCGCACATTTTCCTTTCTGTTTTGCAGAGAGCCCAAGAATGTATGGGCTTTACGAACTAAACTGATCCACCTTCACTGGTAGTTAGTGTAGTTCTTGGTGCACTGCAGCTTGTTTGGAGACTGCTGCCCAATGGTGAAATAATTTTGGTTTTGCAAAGACAGGATTTTTGAAGTATAAAAAACATTTGCAGCCTGTCTGTCTCCTTGGCAACAGATCTGAGAATGAGCAAATTCTGTGACATTTTTTGTTTGTTCGAAGAATAAGTGTCTGTCTGTAAAAATAACCCCAAACTTCTGGTTGCCTGCCATTTTCAAAACACCACTGTGTTCCCTGGCCAGTGCCTCCGTCTCGGCCTTGCTGCAGTGCTCCAGTGGAGCTCAGCACAACACAAGCTGAAAGAATAACACCTCATTTTCTGCTTGGGGGACCCTGTAGTCTTCTGGACTCAATATTGAGTTCAACAACTTGAGAGCTTGAGCACCTTCTACCATGTCCTTACTCCAACCTCCTACCACCACCACACCCCCACCCACCAGGCCTTGCTATTATAGGGGCTGCTACCACACAACATCCCATTGTCAGTCACTAACGGTCCTGAATAGCAGCTATTGATTCTCCCAGACTGACCTTTACCCATTTCTGTTTTTCTCTCTCTCTGGCCTCCATCTCCATATATCGTTTACTCCTTTCCCCTTCTCCAACACCCCATCCCACCCCCCCCCCCAGCCCATCTTTAGTGTATATACTAATCTTTTTCTAGCTACAATCCATTCTGAAGAAAGGTCACTGGACCCAAAACTCTGCTTTCTCTCCACAGGTGCTGCTAGACGTGCTGAGTTTCTCCAGCAATATCTGGTTTAGTTTCTGATTTCCAGCATCCGCAGTTCTTTCTGTGTAATCCTTGGTAGTGGGTGGTGTGTCAAATTTGTAAATTAGTCCAACGTGCAATAGTGGCAGATGGCAAGAGCCAGAGAAATTCTCCGTCAGCCATGCAATGGGAGGAAATTGAAACCTCTATTCTTTCAGGCGACAAGTGATTGGAAATTAAAATTCCCTTGACACCGTCCCCAACTGACACTCCAGGGACAGGGGTAGCAAGGGGCTAAATACAAAATAAAACTCTCCCTACCTCTCGAACAAAAAGTAAACTGGATTCCCGTGACTTTTTTGAGCTGAAAGTGAGGTTCCCTTGACACTGTCCCATCAAACACTCCCGGAACAAGGACAGCACGGGGTTGAATAGAGAAGAAACCTCCTTCTACTCCTTGAACTAAAAGTAAATAACAAGTTCCCTTGACACCATCCCCATCAAACACTCCCTGGACAGGGACAACAAGGGGTTAAAATACGGAATAAAGTTTCCTCCACTCGTTTGAACTCAAAGTAAACCGAAAGTAAAGTCCCCTTGTCAACATCCCCATCAAACACTCCGGGGATACAGACCTCAAGGGTTTAAAATACAGAATAAAATCTTCCTTGAATCTTTTAAAGGCTCCAAAACTAAATAATAGTGAAACAGCCCCTGCAGGAGCGTTGTATTGAAATCAAACGCAAACGAAAGAGTTGATTGGAACCTTACAGAATGAAACAGAAACTTATTAAACCAAAATGATGTTGTCTGGAGTGATAGAATCATAGAATCCCTACAGTGTGGAAACAGGCCCTTCAGTCCAACAAGTCCACACCGACCCTTGGAGCATCCCACCCAGACCCATCCCCCTATAACCCACCTACACTACACATCACTGAACACTATGGGCAATTTAGCATGGCCAATCCACCTAGCCTGCTCATCTTTGGACTGTGGGAGGAAACCGGAGCATCAGGAGGAAACCCATGCAGACATGGAGAGAATGTGCAAACTCCACGCAGACAGTCGCCTGAGGGTGGAATTGAACCCGGGTCCCTGGTGCTGTGAGCCACCGTGATGATGCATTCCAGTCCCTGCAGTGCCCACCTCAAAATGACCCCACCGTGCTGGTGAGCATGTGTTCCCTCTCCAGGGACAGCGAATCGTGGACCTAACTGTGAAAGGGGCGGACAGTCAGGAACAGCCCAAACCTGTTGATGGCTGCTTTGGCCTCTACCACCACGATCCACCAGTGTGGGGTACGGCATGGGTGCAGAAGTGTATGCCTCTCTGACAGCAGACAGAAAGTCTCGGGTTGGTTTTGGTCCTGGAAGAGATGTAACTGAACTTCCACCTCTACTCTCCCGACTTTTGTGTCGGAGACCAATTTTGTTGCCTGCATTAATACTGCAAATGACAGTCAGGGGTGAAATGGACACAGCAATTACAAAGAAAACACTCACACGCTCTGCTTGTCGACCAACAAATGCACAGAACTTTAAAGCACGCACAATGAGACAAAGCAACACAAGGAAGGCTTCCACTTGGGTAGCGCCTTTCCGAACCTCTCCACATACCCCAGGGCACTTCACCCGCTGTCGTCATTTAAGGAAGTGTTTCCATAGCAAGATCCCTCAAACAGCATTGCGAGAAAGGGGCAGCCAGTCTGCTCCCACTGACGTTGATTCAGGGGGTTAATATGGAGCTGGGGAGAAGTCTGAAGGGCCGCATTGTTACATGGCTGCTTCTTCCTCCTGGTCCAGAAGCATTGAGGGGTATAATGCACGCAAGCATATCCCATCACAATGGACACCTACCTCTCCACTGGGGGGGCGGGGTGTGTGCGCGGGTGGGGTTTGGGGTGGGGGTTGCAAGAGGGGGTGTAGGAAATGTGCCATCTAATGGGAGGGAGCCATCTCACAGATGACATATTTAATAAGGGCCCCAACACCCACTCAGGAACGTGTTGAAGATCCAACAGGAGAACAGCAAGTTCAGGGCTCACCAGCGGTGGTGGGGAGAAGGGATTTGGTATCCAAGGAACCGAATATTAATTCCTCCCAATCCCAGACCAGTAAAGGAAAGCAAAGGGGCCTCCCATTCACCACCTTTCTGTGCGAGGGGTCTTGTTATGCAGAAAAACGACCTACACCCAAAAACAAAAAAAAGGGAAAACTTCCAGCGGTGGGGTGGCAACTTTCTGGATGATCCTGAGATATGGAAAGGGAACGTTTCCCTGAGACTGAGTTCCTTGTGCTGCAGGGGTAGGGGGTTCACATATTCGACATAGCGGCGACCTCCGACATAGATAGGCTCGTCGATCCGAAGACACCTCAATAATGCCATGTGGTAGTCTAGCATGTCCGCGGAATTGGTAGCATGGAGGTTGATTCCAGACGTCAACCTTCTCCCTGTGGTCAATGTCCTTTTTTGTCTTACTCCGCCCTCTCTGTCAGCTCGTTGAGGTAGCTGGAATCATATCCCACCTCTTCGTAATCCCTCTCGAGTGAGGCCATGTCCTCCCGTGAGTCCTGGAACTCCCCTTCCTCCAGACCTTCCCCCACGTACCAGTGCACAAAGGCCCGCTTGGCGTACAGCTTGTCGAACTTCATGTTCAGGCGGGTCCAAGCCGAAGAGATGGCAGTGGTGTTGCTCAGCATACAGATGGCACGGGTCAGCCTGGGCAGGTCACTCCCTGGCACCACCATCGGAGCCTGGTGGTTGATCCCAACCTGCGGGGAAGGAGCACTGGGCTTAGGATTTTCTACTGCATAATCAAAGGCACCGTAATGCCTTGCCACACATAACATAACCCTCTCTTCTCTCTGTGTTCCTTATTACCACCCGTCCATCCCTTGTCCCCATTCTCCATCTATGCAGCTTATGAGTTTGTTCTCGCCTGAGACGAGGGTATCACGAGCAAGGCCGGCATTTTTTACCTGTCCCAATTTGCTCTTGAACTGAGGGCCCACGTCAAAGGGTAGTTAAAGACAACTGACTTATGTAGGAACATAGGAAGAGGATAACAACCACCATGAGATAAGATCATGGCTGATCTGGTTGGAGTTGAGTTTCAGTGTTCTAAACCCCAATTGACACAGGCCCAGCCTGTTTAACTTTTCCCCACAGGGTAAAGGCCAGGGTTTTATTTTTTATTCATTCGTTGGTTTTGATAGCTCAGACCCCATACTCTCAAGAGCACATAGCCTGGACCCTGTACCCCTGAGAGAACATACCAGGATCCTATAGCTTTGAGAGCCCATAACCAGCACCCTGTACCCCTGAGAGAACATACCCAGGATTCTATACCCTTGAGAGCATATAACCTGGACCCTGGAGAATCCATGTCCACAAGATTCTGTACCCAGGACCCTCTACATTCAAGAACTTATGCTCTTGTGAGTCAATGGCCTCAAGAGCTGTACCCATGCCAGCCTGTACCATCAAGAGCCCATAACCATGATCTTGTTTCGTGACAACCTTTACCTTTGACAGTGAGATCCCTTCTGAACCTGTACACACAAGAACCTGTGCACAATATATCCCATATGCACGTGAAATCACACCCATCAGAACCTGTACGCTTGTAAGCCTGTATTTATGAGAATCTGTACACAAGGTATCCTAAACCCATGCAAAATCGTACCCACTGGAACCTTTGTGAACCTGTACTCAGAATATCCTGTAACCACTGGAGCCAGTGCTAAAGGTAAACCTGTACTGATAACAGCCTATACCCTCAAGTGCCTATCCCCATCAGAAACTCCGTTTACCGGTCCTGTAACTAAGCATTCTGTATCCGAGGGAGTAAAAAGACTTGCATTTAGGTAGTGCCTTTTACAACTTTGCGACATCCCAAACAACTTTTCAGTCGATCCAGCACTTCTCAAGAATAGTCACAGTCACCAGACAGGGAGTGGATCAGCTAGTTTATGCTTGATAATCAGATATTTGAGATATTCGGTCAGGCCAGTGGCAGTGTGGCAGTGTGCTGTGGAACAGCAACTCATATTCCGCTTGAGAACCCTGCAGCCCAATGGTATCAATGTGGATTTCACAAGCTTCAAAATCTCCCCTCCCCTACCACATCCCAAAACCAGCCCAGCTCGTCCCCGCCTCCCTAACCTGTCCGTCTTCCCACCTATCTCCTCCTCCCACCTCAAACCCCACCCCCATCTCCTACCTACTAACCTCATCCCGCCCCCTTGACCTGTCCGTCCTCCCTGGACTGACCTATCTCCTCCCTAACTCCCCACCTACACTCACCTTTACTGGCTCCATGCCCACCTCTTTGACCTGTCTGTCTCCTCTCCACCTAGCTTCTCCTCTATCCATCTTCTATCTGCCTCCCCCTCTCTCCCTATTTATTTCAGAACCCACTTCCCCTCCCCCATTTCTGAAGAAGGGTCTAGGCCCGAAACGTCAGCTTTCCTGCTCCTCTTATGCTGCTTGGCCTGCTGTGTTCATCCAGCTCTACACCTTGTTCGCAGTGTGGTTAGTTATGTTACTGGATGAGTGTTCAAGGATGCTAAGTGAAGTTTTTTCTAGACCCACCACAGTCGTTGATTAAATAGATCTGGAGTTGAAAGTTTGCGTCAGAAACAGTGACCATGAATCTACTAGATTGTCCTTAATTACCCAACTGTCAACATCCTGGCAGTTACCATTGACCAGAAGTTCAATAGACTTCCTGTAAAAACACAGTGGCTACAGGAGTAGATCGGACTTTAGGAATGCTGCACTGAGTAACTCCCCTCCTGACTTCCCAAAGCCTGTATACAAGGCACAAGTCAGGAGTGTGATGGAATATTCCACACTTGCCTGGATGGGTGCAGCTGCAACAACACTTGAGAATCTGGACAGCATTCAGGACAAAGCAGCCCATTTGATTAACAGCACATCCACAAACATCCATTCCCTCCGCCACTGAGGCTCAGTAACAGCAGTGTGCACTATATAAAAGATGTGCTGCAGAAATTCACCAAAGATCCTTAAAAACATCTTCCAATCCCATGAGAACTTCCATCTGGAAGAACAAAGGGCAGCAGATACATGGGAACACCACTTCCTGCAAGTTCTCCTCCAACCACTCACCATTCTGACTTGGAAATCTTGGAATTCCCTCCCTAATGGCATTATGGGTGAACCCACAGCAAATGGACTGCAGCAGCTGAAGAAGGCAGCTCACTTTCTCCAGGGGCAGCTAGGGACAGGCAATATATGCTGGCCAAGCCAGTGACACCCAAGTCCTATGAAAGAATAAAAAAAGCATTTGGTTCACTAAAGTCCTTTTAGTAAGGAATTCCCCAGTCCTTATCCAGTTTGGGGTAACTGGTATGTGACTACAGACCCACAACAGTGTGGCTGTACAATGAATGGTAGGGCCTTGGGTAGTGTTGTAGAACAGGGGGACCTTGGGGTTCAGGTACATATTCTTTGAAGTTTGTGTCACATATAGACAGGGTGGTTAAAAGGCATTTAGCACACTTGCTTTTATTGCTCAGTCCTTTCAGTACAGGAGTTGGGACATCATGTTGAAGTTGTGCAGGACATTGGTGAGGCCTCTTCTGAAGTACTGTGTCCTGTTATGGGACGGATATTATTAAGCTAGAGAGTGTTCAGAAGAGATTTACCAGGACGTTGCTTGGTATGGAAGGTTTGAGTTATAAGGAAAGGCTGGATAGGCTGGGACTTTTTACACAGGAGCATAGGAGGTTGAGAGGTGACCTTATAGAAGTTTATAAAATCACGAGAAGTATAAATAGGGTTAATGGTAGGTGTATTTTCCCTAGGATGGGGAATTTCGAGACTAGGAGGCATATTTTTAAGGTGAGAGGAGAGAGATTTAAAAAAGACATGGGGGAAATGTTTTTACATAGGATGGTTCGCGTGTGGAATGAACTTCCTGAGAAAGTGTTGGCTGCAAGTACAGTTACAACATTTAAAAGACATTTAGATAAGTATATGAATAGGAAAGGTTTGGAGGGATGTGGCCCAGGAGCAGGCAGGTGGGACTAGTTTAGTTTGGGATTATGTTTGGCATGGACTGGTTGGTCGAAAGGGTCTGTTTCCGTGCTGTATGACTCTATGACTGTTTAGTAGTTCAAGAAAGCTGCTCACCACCACCATCACAACAGCAATTGGGTTGGGCAATAACCCAGGGACCATCCCATTCCCACAGAAAGATTTTTTTTAAAAAAGTAGTCTCGTGGCATCGTCGTCCAGTCATTACAACACTGGGGAGAGCTTTCGGCCCATTGAGTCCATGCTGGCTATCCGGAGAGAAGCAGTCAGTACCGCCGCTCTGCCCTGTTGGCCCTATGAGTTTATTTCCATTGTGTTGTCTTTTTAAATTCCTTTCATCCACTTCCACCCCCTCCCTTTGTAGGTCATGAGTTCCAGATCTTTACCACTCAGTGCATCAGAAATGTTCCTCTACCCCAGTCACCTGCCCAGTCTTTACCCAAAATCTGTGTTCTTCCCCCAACAGTCCTCGTGCTATCAGCTATAGGGAGCAGCTTTTCCTCATCAACTATACGTAAAGCTTTCACAACGTGGTCCACCTTGATCACATCTCCCCACAATCTCTCTTGTCCCAGGAAAATGGCCCCAGCTTCTCCTACTGAACCTTGGAGTGTAGATTCCCCTCACCCCAGAACCATTCTGATAAATCTCCCTCCGTGCTCTCCTGGGGATCCTCACGTCCTTCTTAAAGAACTGGATGCAATACTCTCTGGTTGGGGGCCTAACCAGAAGTCTCAAAAGGTTCGGCATAACATCCTGCTTTTACGCTCGCAGCCTCTATTCAAGGAGCCCAAGATCTCATAACCCCATTCTCAGTTAGTTCTGCCACCTTCAGAGAGATCGGGACATGTTGTTGAGAATCATAGAATCCCTATAGTGCAGAAAGAGGTCATTCAGCCCATCGAGTCTGCACCGACCCTCTGAAGAGCATCCCATCCAGACCCAGCCTATCCTATCCCCATAACCCTACATTTTGCCACGGCTTATCCACTTAGCCTGCACATGCTCGCACACTACAGGACAATTTTGCATGGCAAATCCACCTACCCCGTGTATCTTCAGACTGTGGGAGGAAACTGGAGCGTCCGGAGGAAACCCACACAAACCTGGGGAGAATGTGCAAACTCCACACAGACAGTCACCCCGAGGCTGGAATCAAACCTGGGTCCCTTTATTTTCCTTTATTCATTCACGGGCTGAGGGCATCGCTGGTTAGGCAGCATTTATTACCCATCCCTAATTGCTCAGAGGGCAGTTCAGAGTCAACCACATTGCTGTGGGTCTGGAGTCACATGTAGGCCAGACCAGGTAAGGATGGCAGTCTCCTTCCCTAATGGACATTACTGAACCAGATGGGTTTTTCCAACAATTGACAATGGATTCATGGTCATCGTTAGATTCTTAATTCCAGATATTTATTGAATTCAAATTTCACCATCTGCTATGGCAGGGTTCGAACCCAGGTCACCAGAATGTTATCTGGGTCTCTGGGTTAACAAAAACCAAAAGAACTGCGGATGCTGTAACTCAGGAACAAAAACAAGGTTGCTGGAAAAGCTCAGCAGGTCTGGCAGCATCTGTGAAGGAGAAAACAGAGTTAACGTTTTGGGTCCGGTGACCCTTCCTCAGAACTGGGATAACTCTGGATTAACAGTCCAGCGATAATACCACTAAGCCATCGCCTTCCCCCGGAACGGTGAGACAGTAGGGCTAACCGCTGAGCCATGGTGGTGCTCATTGGCTGTCGTAAAGTCCCATCTGGTATACAGATGTCCTTCAGGTAAAGGAGAGCTACCATCCTTACTTGTAACACCAGACCCACAGCCAATGCAGCGACTCTTAATGACCCTCTGCAGTTCCCAAGTTAGTTTAAGGGGCTGCCAGGGATAGGGCAACAAATGCTGGCTTTGCCTGCAATGCCAAGATCCAGTGTGAGGATAAAGGAGGAAAAGAAGTACCTTAAATCAATGTCTTCTGTTGCGTGACCTCTCCACCAATAGGAATGCCAATGGGGAACAGTTTCAGTATAACTTCAAGGGGACTCACCTTGAATCCAGTCGGGCACCAATCCACGAAGCTGATAGCGCGCATGCTCTTGATGGTGGCAATGGCAGTGTTGATCTCTTTTACCGACACATCCCCTCGGTACAGCATGCAGCACGCCATGTACTTGCCAGTGTGGGGACTGCACTTGACCATCTGGTTGTCTGGCTTGAAGCAGGCCTTGGTGATCTTCAGCGTGGAGTGCTGGGTGTTTTTGTTCTCCTCCTTCGACATCAGCGGCGCGTAGGTGGCCAGAGGGAAGTGGATGCGTGGGTAGGGCACCAGGTTGGTCTGGAACTCTGTCAGGTCCACGTTGAGGGCGCCCTCGAACCGCAGGGACGCCGTGATGGACGAGACAATCTGTGCCACCAGGCGGTTGAGGTTGGTGTAGCTCGGGCACTCGATGCCAAGGTTGTGCTGGCAGATATCATAGATGGCTTCGTTGTCCACCATGAAGGCGCAGTCGGAGTGCTCCAGGGTGCAGTGGGTGACCAGCACTGCGTTGTACGGCTCGACCACCGCGGTGGAGATCTGGGGAGCGGGGTAGACGGAGAACTCCAGCTTGGCTTTCTTGCCGTAGTCGACGGAGAGTCTCTCCATCAGGAGGGAAGTGAAACCCGAACCAGTGCCACCCCCGAAACTGTGGAAGATGAGGAATCCCTGCAGCCCTGTGCACAGGTCAGCCTGTGGGTGGGATGGGAAAGAAAATCAGAGTCATATCATGAAGAATGGTTCCACGGACTGAGTGCGTACTGTTGTGAACCGGACCAGACCAGACCCCCTCTGTCATCACCTCCAGACTCCCCTAGAACCTAACGTTTTCTTATTTTAAAGGTAGATACAAAGTGCCACGTTCCAGATGTGATGCGACTGGTCAAACTACTCGATATTAAACAAAACACAATTTATTTAAATACTGTACTTGAATACATACAAAAGAAAGAAGAATTTATGATAACAACAATTGGAAAAATTAACCGAATAATAGATACAGTACCTATTGCTAATTAACTGTTCCAATATAGTAACATCCAATAAACACACCCCTTGGTAAAAAGACAAATTCAGACACAGATTCTCACATGCAGTTCTCCAATCCAGGAGGAAAAAACATCAAGGGAAAATTCCCAGAAAGTAGCAGCTAGGAGACATGCACTGAAGCTCCTAACTCTTTTGTGACCCCAAAGGCTTCTGCTTAAAGTTAAACCTAAAAACTAAAACAAAAACTAGAAAGCCTGGTCTATGATAGATGGCCACACCCAGGCTACTTCCATTGTTCCAACTTTTAAAAAAAATCCCAAGGCCTCACAAATTGTTTATTTTCTTAGAGACAGCTTGGTGCCTCGGCCTTACAATCTCTCTTCAAGAAACAACCAGGATAAAATAACCTCTGAAAATGACAGAATCGTCACAATGTTCCCCCTTTTGGATTAAGGGATGATCTGATCGTTGCACTGAAGGATGGGTCTGGATAGACAGAGAGAAAGAAATTCTTCAGGTAGGATGGGTGTCCAGAGCAAGGGGCTGGAACCTTAAAATTGAAGCTAGGCTGTTCAGGGCTGCTGCCAGGAAGCATTTTTTTTACAGGAAGGGGAACAGAAAGCTGGGATTCTCCTTTCCCCACCTGAAGGCTGTCGAGATAGGAGATATATTGGACATTTCCGTTTGAGATGTTTGCCGGACACGAAGAGTTATGAAGCCAGTGCAGGTGGATGGAGTTAGGATGTAGACGGACCGTGACATGATGAGCAAATACAACAGGCTAGAGGGACTGAATAGCCTCCTCCTGTGCTTCAGCTCCCATCACATCCTGTCAGGATGTTCCCGAGGGGTTACGCAAAGATGAGTGAAAAGTTCGAGAAACCCCAGTCTACTATTTCTGAGTTGGTAACTTGCTTTCAGCCACCTGAGTCACAGGACCTGTTGGCACTGTGCTAATGTCACTGGACTAGTAATCTGGAGTCCCAGGCTGATGAGCAGGGGGCACACAGATTGTCATAAAAACCCATCCGGTTCATGAGTGCCCTTTCAAGTAGGAAATCCACCAACCTCACCTGGCCTGGCCTCCATGTGACTTGAGACCCACATCAAATCTCGGATCTTCGCTGTCCTCTGAAATAGCCTTGTCAGCTGAAGGGAGACAGGCAACAAACCTGCAAAACCTGAATCCCATGAATGGACAAACAGACAGTTCCTTAGAATCATAGAGTCATGCAGCAATTGAAACAGGCCCTTTGGCCCACCATGTTAATGCCGACCAACAGACACCAAATCACACCAATCCATTTACTTGCACTTGGTCCATACCCCTGGCACTTTATGTACTCATCCAGTTCCTTCTTAAATGTTGTGAGAGTACCTGCCTCCACCACCCTCTCAGGCAGCACCTTCCATATTCTTACCATTCTCTGACTGAAAAGTTTTTTTTCTCAGATTTCCTCTAAGCCACTTATTCCTCACCTTAAACACGTGCCGTCTAGTTTTAGACATATCTGCCATGGTACAAAGGTTCTCACAATTTGCCCTGTCTCTATGCCTCTTGTAATTTTGTATACTTCCCTCCTCAGCCTCCTCTGCTCCAGGGAAAACAAATCCAGGCTATCCAGTCTCTCCTCATTACTGGGACTTTTCTTTCCCAGGCTACATCCTGGTGAATATCCTCTGCACCTTCTCCAGTGCAATCATGATAGTGTGGCCTCCAGAACTGCACACTGTATTCCATCTGTAGCCTAACCAATGTCTTACAAAGTTGTAACAAGACTTCCTTGCTCCTACGTTCTATGCCCCAGCTAATGAAGGTGAGCATCCCTTCTTCACCACCCTGACTACTTGTGCTGCACCTTCAGGGATCTATGGACTTGTTAACAAAGTTCCCTTTGTTCCTCAGTACTCCCTAGGGACCTACCATGCATTGTGCATATCCTCCCCTTATTTGACCACAAATGCATCACCTTGCACGTATCAGGATTAAATTCCATCTGCCAATTTACTGGCTGATCAATATCAGACTGTAGCCTGAGACCATTCTCCTCCGTGTTAACAATACGACTTAAGATTCTGTACCTGGGTACCTTTGTGAGTACATGTGGCAATAAACCTAATTCAATTCTCATGACATCTGCAAATTTACTAAATATATTTTCTACATTCACAATCAAGTCATTAATTCCTCTCTCTCCTCCTTCAAGATCTGCCTTAAAAGCAACCATTTTTTGGTTTGATGAGGGATGTTTTATGACATTAGAGGTGCCTGTACAGTTTGCAAGTTGTTTAGGTTGGCATCCGAACAAGGGGAAAAGATGAAATGAGAACACAAGCAAAAGAGAGAGAAAAAGAACAGGAATTAAGGCTCAATGAGGCTAAATTTACCTTTTAGCGGTTGCCAATGCTCAGGACAGGAAAAGTGGAGTATCAAGCCTATAAGGCATGGAAAGTGATCCTAATTTGTGTTTTTAAACGATACTGTCTTGTTGAATTTTTAAAATGGATTTAAAACACAGAATGGTCAAATTGGCTGAACCATTTTGTTTTCCTCCCATAGCTCTGAAATCTTAGCTTAGATTGATTTTTAATATCAGAACACACAAGCAGCAGCTCCAGGCTAAGATGAAGTCTGCCTCTAGTTTCCAGCTCTTTTGAAACCTGTTTTCCATGAAAAAATTCTTCCACTTTCCTGAAAAGTGGACCAGCCTCATACTTTTCTGCATTCAACTGCATCTGTGTTCCAATGGAAAGGGAATTCTGCCAGACCAGCTAACTGCAAGAACCTTCACCAGATACTGATTAAAGGACTCTGATTCATATGAACTAATGCCAGATATTCTTCTTCCTGTTATTTGTGATTGTCATTTATTTTCTCTTCTTTCTTTCTTGTATGCTTGTGTGTGGGGACGTGTTGTGGAAATAATTCCTCAGGTTGAATGTATGAACAAACGACCCTTCTTGAATAGACCTTGATTGGATGGGCCAACTGGCTGAGGAGTGGCAGATAGAGTTTAATTTAGATAATTGAGGTGTCGCATTTTGCTCAGGCAAATCAGGGCAGAACTTATACAGTAAATGGTAGGGCCTGTGGAATGTTGCCAAGCAAAGAGACCCAGGGATGCAGGTGCATAGTTCCTTGAAAGTGGTTTTGCAGGTAGACAGGATGGTGAAGAAGGTGTTTGGCACTCTTGCCTTCATTGGTCATAACACTGAGTATAGGAATTTGAAAAGAAAGATGAGAGAGAGTCAGAGTATGTAGTAACTTTGAAAAACTAAACTGCATTTATTTCAATGCCAGGGGTCTTACAGGTAAGGTTGATGAACTCAGGGCACGTTTAAGAAGATGGGATTGGGACGTCATAGCTATTACAGAAACTTGGCTGAGTGATGGCCAAGACTGGCAGCTCACTGTTCTGGTTTTAGATGCTATGGGAAGGATAGAAAAGGAGGCAAGAACGGAGGGCAAGGGGTGGCGTTTTTGATTAAGGAATACATTACTCCTGTAACCAGGGAAGATATTTCTGAAAAATTGTCCAGTGAAAATATATGAGTAAAAATTACAAATAAGAAATGAAAGATCAGTTTGGTGGGATCGTACTATAGGGCCCCCACTAGTAAGAGAGAAATTGAGAAACAAACATGTATCTCAGATATATGTAAGCATAATAAGGTTGTAATAATGGGGAATTTTAAATTGCCAAACATTAACTGGGACTACCATAGTGTTAAAGGTTTGGATGGTAAAGAATTTGTCAAATTTGCTCAAGAAAATTTTCTTTATCAATATGTGGATGCTCCTATTAGAAAAGGAGCAAAACTAGACCTTCTTTAGGGCATTTAGGGAGGGCAGGTGACTGAAGTAAAGTCGGGGAACACTTTGGGTCTAGCAATCATAATTCTATCAGTTTCAAAATGGTTCGGAGAAGGATAAGCCTTCCTTAAAAGGAATTTAATTATTGTGAGGCAAATTTTAATGGTATGAGTCAAGAACTTTCAGAAGTTGATTTGAGTAGACTGTTCGCAGGTAAAAGGACGTCTGACAATTGGGAGGCTTTCAAGGGTTTGATGATGAGAGTTCAGAGGCATTATCTTCCTGTTAAAGTGAAGGGTAAGGCTGGTAAAATTAAGGAACAATAGATGAATATAGATGTTGAGGTTCTAGTCAAGAATAAAAGAGAATTTTTTTTAGATACAGACAACTTGGTTCATTTGAATCTCTGAATCAATATAAAGAATGTAGGGACATTCTTAAGAGAGAAATCAGGGAGGCAAAGAGGAGATATGAGTTAGCATTGGCAGATAAGGTTAAGGATAATCCAAAGAGATTCTACAAATACATTAAGAGCAAGAGGGTAACTAGAAAAAGAGTTGGGCATCTTAAAGATCAAGGAGCTCGTCTTTGTGTTGAACCCCAGGAGATGGGAGAGATACTAAATGAATATTTCGCGTCAGTTTTTACTGTGGAGAAAGAAAGAGTCTAAAGAATTGGCATTTTAAAAACAGTTCACATTTCAGAAGAGAAAGTTCAGGAGATCTTAGAGAATATAAAGGTGGATAAATCTCCGGGACCTGATCTAATGTATCCCAGAATGTTGAGGGAGGTGAGGGAGGAAATGATGAGACTTCATGCAGAAATATTTGCTTCATCTGTAACTATAGGTGAGGTGCCTAATATTGTACCGTTGTTTAAGAAAGGTTGCAAGGAGAAACCGGGGAATATCGACCTGAGAGTCTGACTTCGGTTGTGGGTAAATTGTTGGAGGTGATTATAAAAGATAGGATTTATGGACATTTAGAGAGGCAAAAATTGTTTACGGATAGTCAGCATGATTTTGTGTGAGGAAAATTTTGTCTCACAAACTTGATTGAGTTTTTTGAGGAAGTTACTGAAAAGGTTGATGATGGCAGAGCAGTAGACGTTGTTTATTTGGATTTTAGTAAAGCCTTTGGCGAGGTTCTGCATGGTAGACGAATGAATAAAGTCAAATCACATGGGATTCAGGGTGAGCTTGCCAATTGTATACATAATTAGTTTAATGGCAGGAGACAGAGACTAATGGTGGAGGGTTGCTTTTTGGACCGGAGGCCTGTGACCAACGGTGTTCGACACGGATCAGTTCTGGGTCCTCTTTTGTTTATCATTTATATAAATGATTTGGATGAGAATATAGAAGGCATGGTTAGTATCTTTGCAGATGACACCAAAATTGGTGGCGTTGTAGACAGTAAAGGAGGTTTTCTAAGATTACAAAGTGATCTTAATCAAATGGGTCAATGGGCTGCAAAATGGCAGATGGAGTTCAATCTGGATAAATGTGAGGTATTGCATTTTGATACAACAAACAAGGGTAGGGCTTATACAATTAATGGTAGGGCCTCAGGTAGTGTTGTAGAACAGAGGGACCTAGGGGTGCAAGTACATAGTTCTTTAAAATTTGCATCACACATGGATAGGGCACTTAAAAAGTCATTTGGCATGCTTGTCTTCATTGCTCAGTCCTTTGCATATAGAAGTTGGGACATTATGTTGAGGTTGTACAGGACATTGGTGAGGTCTCTTCTGGAATACTGTGTCCAGTGCTGGGCGCCGAGTTATAGGAAGGATATTATCAAGCTGAAGATGGTTCAGAAGAGATATACCAGGATGTTGCCAGGTATGGAAGGTTTGTGTTCTAAGGAAAGGCTGGATTGGGTGGGACTTTTTCCACTGGAGCATAGGAGGTTGAGAGGTGACCTAATTGAAGTTTATAAAATTACGAGAGGTATAGATAGGTTAATGGTCGGTGTCTTTTCCCTAGGATGGGTGATTTTAAACTAGGCGGCACATTTTTAAGGTGAGAGGCAAGAGATTTAAAAAAGACATGAGAGGTAAATCTTTTACACAGAGGGTGGTTCGTGTGTGGAATGGACTTCCTGATGAAGTGGTGGATGAGGGTACAATTACATCATTTAAAAGACATTTAGATGGATATACAAATAGGAAAGGTTTGGAGGGATATGGGCCAGGAGCAGGCAGGTGGGACTAGTTTAGTTTGGGATTATGTTCAGCATGGACTGGTTGGACCGAAGGGTCTGTGTCCGTGTTGTATGACTCTATGAATTGGGATGTCATGTGTAGTTGTACAGGACATTGGTTAGGCCACTTTCGGAATACTGTGTAAAATTCTGGTCACCCTTCTATAGGGAGGATGTTGTTGAACTTGAGAGGGTGCAGAAAAGATTTACAAGGATGTTGCCAGGGTTGGAGGGTTTGAGCTATAAGGGGAGGCTGAATAGGCTGGGGCTATTTTCCCTGGACCGTTGGAAGATGAGGGGTGACCTTATAGAGGTTTATAAAATGATGGAAGAGCATGGAGAGGGTGAATAGCCAAAGTTTTTTTTCCCAGGGTGGGGGGGGGTCCAAAACGAGAGGGCATAGGTTTAAGGTGAGAGGAGAAAGATTTAAAAAGGACCTGAGGGGTAACCTTTTCGTGCAAAGGGTGGTGCGTGTGTGGAATGAGATGCCAGAGGAAGGGGTGGAGGCAGGTAGAATTACAACATTTAAAAGTATATGTATGTGACTAGGAAGGGTTTAGAGGGATATGGGCCAAATGCTGGCAAATGGGACTAGGTCAGATTGGGATGTCTGGTCAGCACAGATGAGTTGGATCAAAGGGTCTGTTTCCATGTTGTATGACTCTAATGAGAGTTTGTTGTGTGTGTCATTTTTAAAAGAGAATTGGACTTCATAAGCAGAAAGTTGGGCAGAACTCCACTGCATGTTTGAGAAAGAGAAAAGAAGCAGGATGAAAATTGATAAAACCATCTTTGCTTAACGACAGATGGAGAGGACCATAAAAACAATTCACCTCTCCTACTTATCTGTGACACAGAGTCAAGGTCTCTAATCTCGCTCCAGTGGCAGATCTCCATCATTCTTGCCCTCCCTTGCGAGTGATACAGATCAGAATGTTATGGAAAGAAAGGATTAAGCCTTGTGTTAGCCCTTGTGATCAAACAGGCCACACACCAGTACTCGCCAACCTAGTCCCCAAAGGAATATTAGTCACCATGCCGGGGAAGATGTGCAGGGAAGAGCACCCAGCCCTCCATTAATTTGATCTTAATGAATAACGTACCATTTTCCTTATTCGATCCAAGACCAGATCCACAATCTCCTTCCCGATGGAGCAGTGGCCCCGGGCGTAGTTATTAGCTGCATCCTCCTTGCCAGTGATGAGCTGCTCAGGGTGAAAGAGCTGCCGATAGGTGCCAGTGCGGACCTCATCTGAGGACAGTGCAAGAAATGGTGAATGATTAACTGGGTGCTCCATTTGCTGGAATACATCAGGCGGCGGCATGAGTTGTGAACTGTAGAATCTCACATGAAACGTGTCCTGAGTGAGTGACGGCCCAATACTTGACATGGGATTCCCCTAACGGACTGCGAGAATGATGAGTTACTCTGACACCACCTGTACTGCTCACTGACAAATACTGGGTCCCAGGCCAAATGCCTCAATTGAAAAAAATCATTCTTGTTTGAAAACATTTCTGTAGCACTGCCCATCTCCATCTGACGCAACTCACCTGCTGCTGAAATCCTCATTGTTATTGTCTCCAGATTCAATAGTTCTCCTGCTCCATAGCTAGTCTCCCAATATCTGGAAAAACTGATTACAAAACTCTCCTGCCATACTTGCACTAAGTTCTCTTCACCTATCACCAGGGTTAAGCAGCAGCTTCTCTTCCTGGTTAAGTAGTCTCCTCCATCTCCTACACCCCTCCCTATCTCTGTCACCTCCTCCAGCACCTACACCCCTCCCTATCTCTGTCACCTCCCCTGGCTCATATACCCCTCCCTATCTCTGTCACCTCCTCGAGCACCTATATCCCTCCCTATCTCTGCATTCTTCCAATCCAGCCTCTCTCACATCTCCTGATTCCCATCACTCCACCTTTGATGGCCATGCCTTCAGCTGCCTGAGGACCTAACCTCTAGAATGACCTCCTTGAACCTCCCTGGTTCTATCTCCTCCTTCTAGGTGAATGCCTCTTTGACTGGGATTTTGATCATTCTGTTTACACAGAAATGTGGCTTAATATCACATTCTCTGTCTGATTTCCGCCCCTATGAAGTGCCATGTGGCATTTTTACCACATTAGAGGAGCTACATAAATGCAAGTTGTTCTTCTGCCAGCTGCAATTTGCAGACAGTTAAGATGTGTGCGGAAGTTTTCCTGACTTTTTCAAACAAAGTGATTCAAATTGCGGATCTTTCACTTGCAGCAGTAGCTGACTGTGTCTTGTCCTTTGTGGTCATACCTCAAACTCCACCAACCCCCAACTCCACCCCCCTCCCCTTCCCACCCACCCCCCACACACACACAGTGAGTCAGCTCTCAATGGAAGACCCCAGAAACACACTCATGTTACTTTTTGACTGAGAAGATTCCCCTTCTTGCCTCAGAAAATTAGTCCTCAATAGGGGCTGCTTATTGGCTCCTATGGAGTTCGGGGTTGGATGGGAACAAAGAAAGGAAAGACTTGCATTTAAATAGCACCTTTCACAACCCAAGGACTTTCCCAATTCACAGGCAATGTACAATTTTTGATTTTGGATTGTAGACGCAGCCGTAATACTTGTGAAATATCCTTGCAACCTACCCCAGGCATCAATTTATTTGGATTTTTGTGTCATCATTGTTTGTGGCAGTTATGATCCGCTGAAAATTGTCTCTCTTTGTTCAAGGGATGACAGGGTCAAGCCCAGCCTGGGTTGCCTAACCCTAATTCCCCTTGAGAAGGTGGTGGCGAGCCCCCTTTGTCGAACTGCTGCTGTCTGCCATGATGTGGGGACACCCATGGGTGCTAACAGAGATGGGTGACACCTTTCCTGCATTATGACAGTGAATACATACATACAGTCATTTTTCTGAAGAAGGGTCTAGGCCCGAAACGTCAGCTTTCCTGTTTCTCTGATGCTGCTTGGCCTGCTGTGTTCACCCAGCTCTACACCTTGTTATCTCATACAGTCATTGAGCTGTGCAGCATGGAAACACACCCTTTGGTCTAACTCGTCCATGCTGACCAGATATCTTAAATTAATCTAATCCCATTTGCCAGCATTTGGTCCATATCCCTCTAAACCCTTCCTTTTCATGTACCCATCCAGATGCCTTTTCAATGTGGTAACTGCACCAGCCTCCACCACTTCCTCTGGCACCACCCTCTGTGTGAAAAGGTGCCTCTTAGGTCCCTTTTAAATCTTTCCCCTCTCTCACCTTAAACCTATGTCCTGTGGTTTTGGACTCCCCTACCCTGGGAACAGGACCTTGGCTATTCACCCTATATCCATGCCCTTTGTGATTTTGTAAGGTCACCCCTCAGCCTCCGACACTCCAGGGAAAATACCCCAGCCATTTCAGCCTCTCCTTATACACGGAGTCACAGTGCTTTGACAGGATAGATAGAGGCCCTTCATCTCATTGTGTCCCTGCTGGTCATCAAGCATTCATTCTAATCCCATTTTCCAGCACTTGGTCTGTAGTCTTGCCATTTCAAGTGCTCATATATATACTTCTCAAAAGTCTTGAGAGTTACTGAATCTACCACCCTTCCAGGTAGTGAGTTTTAGAAAGCGACCACCTTCTGCGTGAAAAAGAACTTCCTTAAATCCCTTCTAGAACTTCTGCTGCTTATCTTAAACCTGCGCACCCTGGTTTTGACCGTTCTACGGAGGGAATTTTTTTTTTACTCACTTGTGGCACTTGTAAACTTAAAGGGATCATGCACTGCTTTTCCCCACTGTCACTTTTACCAACAAACTGTAACTTCCTGCCTTCCAATTCATGAATACTCTACACAACTTTGTAACAATAGCAAGACATCTGAATAGAAATTGTCCCATTGGGCATTATTGGCTGGGCCCAGCATTAACTGCCCGTCCCTAATTGCCCTCCCTTGGGAAGGTGGTGGTGAGCCGCTGAGCCACTGCAGTGACCCGTGTGGTGTAAGGACACCCACCATTAGAGGGGGAGGTCTGGAATTTTGACCCTGGCAACACTGGCCGATATTGCTCCAAGTCAGGATGGTGAGTGGCTTGGAGGGGAACTTGCAGGTTGGTAATGTTCCTGTTTCTTTAAAAAAGGAAGTAGACAAAAGGCAGGTAACTATAGACCTGTTAGTTTAACTTCTATGGTGGGGAAAATGCTTGAATCTATCATCGAGGAAGAAATAGGGTTATGGAGAAGGGGAAAGTCGAACCCCTCTGATAAATAAACCGAAACACAAGCCCCAATCTGTTATGGCAGCAATTAGAGGTTCTCTTCTAAACCTGAAACACCCAGAGAAGCTCACCCCATCCCCCATAATCTGTTAAAATCATGGTTAGATGAAATAAAATCCCTAATCTCCACTCTATATGTAACAAGTAACAATTTATTTCCTTGACCCTAACAATTAACAAATTAACAGACGTACTAACAAACTGAACAATTTCCCCCACACTACTCCCTAACTGACCTAAATTCTGCTGGAACGCTGTTAAAATAAACACAAGTCCCCTTTATATAAACCAATTAAAAGACAACAATAAAACTTAATCTCTCCAAATTCACACAGACTGTGTCTTCTGGAACGCTCTGTCTTCTCTGTTACTCCACAAATGCCTGTCTTCCGCTGATTCTGTAAATTCTTCGGTGAAGACTTTGAGCTAAAATGCCGTGGTGCTTTTTCCGGGTAAAAGGTGCTTTCTTAGACAGCTTAGTGATTTCTTGTGAGAGCTCGGGGCTTATTTCTCAGATGGCAGGCTTGCTTTCCCCTCAGATGATAGTTGGCTCTCACCCCGATTTTCAAAAACCCTTTTCTTATATACCCACCGATGACACATCAAAATCTTGTCATATGATTGGTTTCAGGTTGTCACAACCATCAGTTTTGAATTCAATTGGTTTTCTGTGTCTAGGCGCTTGGTTGAAATTAATTGACTAAATTCAAACTTGTTGACTCGATACCAAAACAAAACTGCCGTTTTGCCTGCCAACTGTAAGGCCTTTTGGTACACTTGTTTCAAGTTTTGGGGTTCTCTGTACAGTACTTGTAAACTTCCAAGTACTTGTAAACTGACAGGGACCATGCACTGTTTTTCCACACTATCATTTTTACCTACAAATTCTAACTCCCTGACTCCCAATGCATGAATATTCTACACAACTTCGTAACAATAGCAAGATATCTGGATAGAAATTGTCTCATCGGGCAGATGCAGTATGGGTTGATGAAAGGCAGGTCATGTTTAACTAATTTACTGGAATTCTTTGAGGACATTACGATCGCAAGTGGATAACGGGGAACTGATGGGTGTGGTGTATCTGGATTTCCAGAAGGGATTTGACAAGGTGCCGCACAAAAGGCTGCTGTATAAGATAAATATGCACTGTGTTACGGGTAATGTATTAGGATTAGGATTGGTTAACTAACAGAAAGCAATAAGTGGGGATAAATGGATGTTTTTCTGTTTAGTGATCAGTAGCTAGTAGTGAGCACTAGGGATCAGTGTTGGAACAGCAATTGTTTATAATTTACATAGATGATTTGCAGTTGGGGAACAGGCATTGTGTGTCAAAGTTCGCTAAGATGAGTGGTAGAGCAAACTGTGCAGAGGACACTGAAAGTCTGAAGAGGGATATAAATAGGTTAAATGAGTGGGCAAGGGTATGGCAGATGGAGTACAAAGTTGGCAAATGTGCATCATCCATTTTGGTAGGACTAACAGCAAAACAGACTATTATATAAATGGTGAAAAATTATAGCATGCTGCTGTGCAGAGGGACCTGGGTGTCCTTGGGCTCGGATCACAAAAAGTTGGTTTGCAGATGCAGCAGGTAATTAAGAAGGCAAATGGAATATTCTCCTTCATTGCGAGAGGGATGGAGTTTAAAAACAGGGAAGTTATGCTGCAGCTGTATAGGGTGCTGGTGAGGCCACACCTGTGTACAGTTCTGGTCTCCTTACTTGAGAAAGGATGTACTTGCACTGGAGGGGGTGCAGAGGAGGTTCACTAGGTTGATTCTGGAGTTGAGAGGGTTGGCTTATGAGGAGAGATTGAATAGCCTGGGATTATACTCATTGGAATTTAGAAGAATGAGGAGGCGTCTTATAGAAACATTTAAAATTATGAAGGGAATAGATAAGATAAAAGCAGGGAGGTTGTTTCCACTGGTGGGTGAAACGAGAACTAGGGGGCATAGTGTCAAAATAAGAGGCAGCAAATTTGGGACTGAGTTGAGGAGGAATTAATTCACCCAAAGGGCTGTGAATCTGTGGAGATCAGTTGAGGCTACCTCATTGAATGCTTTAAAGGCAAAGGTAGAGTTTTCAACACTAAAGGAATTATAGGTTATGGTAAGTGGAACTGAGTCCATGAAAAGATCAGCTATGGTCTTGTTGAATGGCAGAGCAGGCTCAAGGAGCCAGGTGGCCGACTCCTGCTCCTATTTCTTGTGTTCTTATGTTCTCCCTCTACACCCTAGCCATGTCCCATGTAATTTTGTACACTTTAATCAGATTCCCTTCCACCTCAGCTATCTCTGCCCCAGTGAAAACAACCCTATCTAGTCTCTCTTCATATCTGAATTGCTCCAGCCCAGGCAACATCCTGGTGAATCTCTTCTGCACCCACTCCAGCGCAATTACATCCTTCCTATTGTGTGATGACCAGAACTCCACACCGTGCCCTAACTAATATTATGTACAGCTCCAACATAATCTCCTTGCTTATGTATTTAACACCTTGATTAATAATGCACCCCGTTTGCCTCTTAACCACTTTATCTACCAGTCAAAGTTGTGGTTGGTCAGGGCTGGATGCTGTTCGGAGGTTGGGCGCAGAATTGATGGGCTGAATGGCCTCTATCTGCACTGTACTCGTGTACTTTCATGTACTTATCTAAATGTCTTTTAAACATTGGATTTGGACACAAATACACCACTTCCTCAGGAAGTTCATTCCACACGCGAACCACCTGTGTGTAAAAAAACTTGCCCCTCATGTCTTTTTCAAATCTCTCTCCTCTCACCTTAAAAATGTGCTGTCTGGACCCCCAGAGAGGCTGCGCCAATGTGCAGCTGCGCAGTTTAGAGTAAGTGTCACCTGGGACGTCGTGAGTGCTTCTTTTATGGATGCCCCACTTTCTTTCCAAATGCCTTGCAGCCAATGTGCTCAGACGACCGACTGCAACATCACCCCCACCCCCCTTACCAATCACAGTGGGCTCCAGATCGATGAACACGGCCCGGGGAACGTGTTTCCCTGCCCCAGTCTCACTGAAGAAGGTGTTGAAGGAGTTGTCTTGGGCACTGCCGGACTTGGAAGTGCGCATTTTACCGTCCGGCTTGATCCGATGCTCCAGGCAGTACAGCTCCCAGCAGGCATTCCCGAGCTGCACACCGGCCTGGCCAATGTGGAGTGACAGACACTCGCGCTAGAGAGGGGGAGAGCACAGATCATCATTTCAATTGGTAGCTGGCGAACAATGTTTTGTTGAATAAGTGGGAAGTGGATGGGAGAAAAGTGTGTGAAATGCTACTTTATTGCCCGACCACTTCCTCCCTCTGTGCTGCTCCCACATACTCATAGAATGCCTACAATGTGGAATCAGGCCATTCAAGTCCAAACCGAAGAAACATCCCACCCAGACCTAGTTCATCCCTGTAACCCTGCATTTCCCATGGCTAACCTGTCTAACTTGCAAATCCCTTGACACTATGGGCAATTTAGCACGGCCAACCTGCCTAAGCCGCACATCTTTAGACTGTGGGAGGAAACCTATGCAGAAATGGGGAGAACACATAAATTCCACATAGTCACCTGAGGGTGGAATTGAACCCAGGTCCCTGGCACTGTGAGGCAGCAATGCTAACCACTGAGCCACCGTGGTGCCCTGTATTCACCCCTACTCAATCATCTCTCACACTCGCTCCTTTGCTTCCACTGAACACCCCCCCAACCCCACCGCCCCATGCTCAGTGTACACTGCTCTCAAAATTCTCTCCATACACCAACCCCCACTCACGTTCTTACCTGCCATGCAGTTCATTCTATGCCCATCTCTGTGCTCAGCTCGTTCACTGTGTCCCAACCTCTTCGCCGCTCACTGTCCCATTCCCTCCATGGCCTCCCTGCCACTCTCTTGCAGTCTGTGCATGAACCCTCATTATATGAACATAGAACCTGGAAGCAGGGTTAGGCTATTTGGCCCTTTAAGCATGCTCAGCCATTTAATAAGAGCAGGGCTGAACCACACAAGTGAGGTGTGCTGCAGGAATGTAAATGTGGTTTTGTTGTTTAAAGGGGGGACAAAGGAAATGCCAAGCAATTATAGGCCAGTTAGTTTTATTTCAGTGGTGAGCAAGTTGCTAGAATTAATCCTGAAAATTGGGTCAACTGTCACATAGGAAGGCATGGACTAGTCAGGGATAGTCAGCATAGCTTTGTTAAGGGAGGGGGATACTTAAATTGCATGACCAGCTGTGACCAAAGTGAATGGTGGTGCAGATTTGAAGGGCTGAATGGCCTACTCCTGCACTTATTTTCTATGTTTCTATCATTGGGACAGCTTGGTGGAAGCAGATTTCACTACAGATTTGAATCATCGCCCAAATGGTAAATCATTTGTGGGCCACAGATTGGTTGTGGGGAAGTTGGGGGGTGCGGGGAAGCAGTCAGGTTGGCAAAAGTGAGCAGCTGGCACAAACACAATGGGCCAGTGGCCTGCTTTAGTGCTGGACCATTACTGCACATCGCTGGATTGGCCATCCAGCAGACTAATCGCAATGTAACTCTACGGCTAATGCACTAGCCCTACTTGCTCACTCCTACCACGCCCTCCTGTTAATCATTGCCTCACTCCCTCTGCCCTTGTTCCTGACTACCTCCATCCACAATAACCCAAGCAGGGTGAAACCCCTACTGAGGGAATTGCACAGGGCTAGGCACGCATGCCTCATGATACCCACCATCTCGCCGCGCTCCTTCTGTAACCCGTCGAGACGTCACCTGCCCTCACTGCCCCTGGCCACGGTACTACACAACGCCTCTGCTGGTATGGCTTCCTGGTTGTCAACGTGTGGTTCTCCTCCTGGTTAGCTCCTGTTATGCTGGCTGCAGAGTTAACAAGGAGCAACATTGCAATAGGTCAATTGGAGATGTGACTCCAAATATCAGTGAGATCCCTATGTTCATCATTTTCCACCAGTGACACCTCCATACCTGTCATTTTCCACTAGTAACACCCCTATAACCATCATTTTTCGTCACAGCCACCCCTATCCTCATCAAATTACATCAGTTACACTCCTACACACATCAATACCCATCAGTGACACCCCTAAACTCATCAAATCCCATCAATAACACCCCTACACCCAAATCCCATCAGTGACACCCTTACACCCATCAAATCCCATCAGTAACACCCTTACACCTATCAAATCCCATCAGTGACACCCGTACACCCATCAAATCCCATCAGTGACACCACTATACACATCAAATCCCATCAGTGACACCTCTACACCCATTAGATCCCATCAGAGTCACCCTACACACATCAAATCCCATCAATGACACCCCTACACCCATCAGTTTCCATTAGTGACACATTTAAACCCATCAAATCCCATGAGTGACACCTCTAAATCCATCAGTGCCAGCGCTGCATCCATCAGATCCAATTGGTGACATCCCACCACCCAACATGTTGCACCAGTGATACTCCTAACCCATCAAATCCCATCGTTGACACTTTCACACCCTTCAAATCGCATTGTTGACACCCCTACACCCAACACATCCCATCAGTTAGACCACAACACTGGGTCATCAGTGTCATCTATGGGATCTTGCTCGGCACAAGAAAACATCACTTTGACTACGCTTCACAGAAAAAGAAACTACCTGACTTGTCAAGTAAAATCAGCGCTTAGAGGAAGCTAGGAGACTGTTGTTGGTGGTTGGCTTGAGCTGAGGATTTTGACCTTGCTTTTACATACGTTCATCTGAGGGAGTCCAGTCTATGACTGATCACTGTTGCTTCATTGAAAACCTTCTGCACACCCCCTAATACAGAGTAGCAATGCGACACAGAGATGCTATTAATCACCACTGTGCTCTCCAGACAACTAAGCTCACCTCCAATCATGCCAAAGTTTCCAAAAGCTGCCTCTATCACACAAGACCAGAGACAGAAGGCTCCGCTGCTCTATTACAAAGGAAACTTTGTGAAGAAATTGCAGCTTTTAAGGTTTTGCCTCTTCATTATCAAATATTTTGCAAGTTTTGCAGTGCTGGAGAAGTGCAAGTGCCCTGTTAATTTGTCTTGGGTGCACAGCTTAAAGGAACAACATTGGCAAAGGCAAGACCGAATGAAATAAGGTCTGTAACCTTGAAAGTTGCAGGGTTAACCCTGACTCTTTTTGCATTTTCTGCAAGGCTTCTTGCATCTTAAACTGGGAAATCTGGCCCAATCTTTTCTGCAACTTGCACCTCTTAGTACTTGGCTCACCCTGCTTTAAAATCTTACCAGCACAAAAACAGGGCATTTGGCCCAGCAAGTCTGGACTGCCTAAGGTTTGGGTTGCACAAAAGACCCTTCAAGGGGCCTTGTCTGTGCTCTGGTCCCCATTCTGGTCAGCGAACTAGTCTGAAATCCATACCAGAGCACGGTCAGTAAATAGAGCTCTTCGAGTCTCACTTGTCGGCAGGAGTTACCATGTAAAAGTTACTCACATTTAAACAACAACAATGAGACAGAGTACAGGAAACAGATAGACTGCTTAGTGGCATTGTGTGAAAACAATAATCTCTCAATGTCAGCAAAACAAAAGAGCTGGTGATCAACTTCAGGAAGCGGAGTGGAGGATACACCCATTTGTATCAATGGTGCTGAGGTGGAGATGGTCAAGAGCTTCAAGTTTCTGGGAGTAAATATCACCAATGATCTATCCTAGTCTATCCATGTCGACACTGTAGTCATGAAAGCACACCAACACCTCTTCTCCCTCAGAAGGCTAAGGAAATTCTGCATGTCCACAATGACTCTTACCAATTTTTTATAGATGCACCATAGAAAGCATCCTAACTAGATGCATCACAGCTTGGTATGGCAACTGCTCTGCCAAGACTTCAAAAAATTACACAGAGTTGGGAACACCGTCCATCACACAAACAAGGCTTCCATCCACTGACTCTGTCTATATTCCCTGCTGCCACGGGAAAGCAGCCAACATAATCGAAGACCCCTCCCACCCCAGTTATACACTCTTCCGTTGGGCAGAAGACACAAAAGTTCGAAAACATGTACCAACAGATTCAAGATCAGCTTATTTTTCCTGCTGTTTGCCGATATGTAAATGGACCTCTCATATCATAAAATCCCTACAGTCTGAAAACAGGCCCTTCGGCTCAACAAGTCCACACCGATCGTCAGAGCATCCCACCCAAACCCATCCCCCTATAACCCACCTAAGCTACACACCGCTGAACACTACAGGCAATTTTAGCATGGCCAATCCACCTAACCTGAACATCTTTGTACTGTGGGAGGAAACAGGAGTACCCGGAGGAAACCCACACAGACATGGGGAGAATGTGCAAAGTCCACTCAGTCACCCGAGGGTGGAATTGAACCCAAGTCCCTGGTGCTGTGAGGCAGCAGTGCTAACCACTGAACCACCGTGCCGCCCGACTGGGTCACCGTGCCGCCCTCACTGAGCCCAATTTCCTTATCTATGAATTCTGTTATTAATATAGGCACTGTGGTAAGGCAATTTAAAACACTTTTCACTGTTGTTTTGGTAAAAAATACAAGTGACAATAAGTCACTATTCAATTCTATCTTTCTATGTGCCTTCTCTGTAGCTGTGACACCTTATTCTGCATTCTGTCTATTACCCTGATGTACTTTTGTAAATTATGATTTGCTTGGAAAGCATGCAAAACAATACTTTTCACTGCATCTCAGTAGATGTGACAATAATAAATCACATCAAATCAAATCATTCCAAACTGCACAACCTTAGTGTCATAGAGCACTCTTCAGGCCAACTCGTCCATGCTAACCAGATACCCCAAATTAATCTACAGATGGCAAGAACTGCCGATGCTGCAGTCAAAGATAGCGCAGTGTGGAGCTGGAGGAACACAGCAGGTCAGGTAGCATCAGAGAAGTCCCAAACCAAAACGTCAACTTTCCTACTCCTCTGATGTTGCCTGACCTGCTGTGTTCCTCCAGCTCCACACTGTGTTATTCCTAAATTAATCTAGTCCCATTTTCCAGCATTTACCAAAACGCAACACCTCACATTTATCTAAAGTACCAAGTTTGGGGGTCGCGGTGTGTTGAATTCCATTTTTGCTTTCCCTGGCAAAGCCAACCCTTTCCCTTCAGAAAGCTTCGCATGGGCTCTGGTTAGGAATTCACTGTCTGCCATCAGTGCTGTCAACCAGAGGGGAAGGGGGCACCATTCCTCCATTTCAACCAGATCCGGATTTGCAGAATTTCCTAATTCGCTAACCGCCATCATCTGGACTAGTTCCTCTCACCTTGCCACCCGTGGGGTATCCCAATGAAGACCTTGACCTGTTCATCATGGGATTGCTGTTCTCCAAAGCAGTTGAGATTTTGAACACCTCCTCCCGTACCCATCCCACCCTCAGATTTGCCCACCTGCCCCTTTCCCCACCAGCCAGCAGGCAACTGGCGTCAGGAGGCTGAACACCATGTTCCTTGCTTGGGCACGTTTCCATGTCGTTTCCCACAACGTTGAGAAGGCTCAGTAGCGCCTCCTGCAGGCTCCTCTGACATTGGGCCCTTCCCTGGCCTCGAAGATCAACAAAAAGAAGAAAAAGATTCACATCGCTGACTGTCACCAGTGGGGTGCGGGGAGAGGGGTTGAGAGGGAGGGAAAGGCGATACCTACCCACAGTAACTGCTGACTGTGTGGGCAGTTGGTGGGTAGAACCCTGGTAAATGCTCAGTGAGGTGGGTAACTATGGAGGCGGATGATGCACGCTAGATGCAGCCGGGAAACCTTGACAACATGGGGCTTATGCAACAATAGATCCATGCCGGACAGCGTGACCTCAGGAGGGCCCACAACTCCAAGGCTCCAGTGCAGAATCGGAGAACATAGTTCGCGACACTCCATGAGCCTCAAAGGAATTTTGAGCATCTTCATGACCTCAGTTGTCTCAAAGGACCACTAAGGGGTAAACGACATATTCCCCCAGCTATAAATCTATGCACCCTGGGAAGGGGGCGTTGTCTCTGAATAAAGAGGGGTGGGGGTTGGCAGCCATTTAGGTGTCTGCATGGGTTTCCTCCCACAGTCCAAAGATGCGCAGGGTAGATGGACTGGCTATGCTAAATTACCCCATAGTGCCCAGGGATGTGCGGGTTAGGTGGGTTAGACATAGGAAATGTAGAGGTAGGGGAACGGGTCTGGGTGGGATGCTTTTCGGAGGGGCGGGGTTGACTTGTTGGGCTGAATGGCCTTTTTCCACACGGTAGGGATTCTATGATTCTAAGACGGGGAGGGATTTCTTAAGGGTGGTGAATTCCCTGCTGCAAAGGGGCTAGGGTGTGGAAGCTCAGTCATGGGTTTTGTCCTATATGTGAACTGAGCCGTTTCTGAGATCTGTTGGGGGGTGCAAGGAGAATCTGCAGGATTGGCCATATTCCTGTCTGGAGGAGGGGAAGGGGGAGACTTGAAGGACTGAGTTGCCAAGTCCTGCATGTTATTTCTATTCAGCCATTGCCACAGTGGTGAAATCGGGTTGGAAGCCTTGAGAACTCTGAATCCAGTTCGGAAGGAAGGTCTTCACCAGTGGGAATGGGCTCCTTCGTGGGCAGGTGATGGCGTCCGTGTGTTTGATGGTAGATGGGAGGGAAACTTACCTGTGAATCTGGATGAACAATGGCAGGGGACAGGAGTACACTGTAAACAACGGCACAAGAGGGGTTAGAGGGCAGAACATTCGGGGAGGAGTTTGATGCGGGACAGGGGAAGCCTACACGCCAAATGTAGAGAACGCTGGGCATCCAACAACATGGGAGTTGAGTGGACAGCAAAAGGAAAGATTTGTTTCAAAATAAAAGTACT